ACAATACTACGCACAACGCTAATTATAACCACATTCCTGCTATTATCACAATCCTGGTCACTAATTCCTGTAAATGAATAATTGACCACACGTTTATTTTGAAAAGGAACCTAAGAAATCATTTGAAGATTCCTAGATGAACGAAATAATGCTGTGGTGCTGTGGCTAGCGCTGTGAACATCGTGAACAGCATTGAGTCACTGATATTTGAACATTGTACCCAGTCATTATCACACTCAGGCTCTAATATAACACTATCATAGCTAAATAATACAAGTTATATATACATTTTGACATTATTAGGCGATGCTGTGGTCACATGCTGAACAGCAGTGCTGTGCGCTCATGCTGCGAGCGCCAGCCTTGGTTGCTCACACACTACTGAGGCTCCCACACCCGGGAATGTGGACCACGATTTTTTTTAAAGATGGCGTCTGTTTACAAGAGCCCTGAGGAAGCTGATGTGAACCCCATGTAGCCGCGGGAGTTTTGAATGGAACGTGAAAAATACAAATACCCGGAGGCGTGTTGCGCAAACCAGACGTGAGCCTGCAGGCGCATTGCGCAGTTTAAGGGTTAATCCAATCCGTACCCCGTTGCTTTGGGGATGTTCTGGGATGCCGCTGTGGGGAAGTCACGAGGTTTTCCCTGCGTTTTAGGGTGGGGAGCCTCCTTCACCGCTCCTCTCCACTCCAGCATGGACACCCTGGCTGCCTCCAGCGGCTACGGACTTGAAAGCTTGCATCATAGCCCTTCAGCGCCTATGTTCTGCAGGTGAGTTGGTGTGGTTTGGCGTCTCCTTCGTCCTGACGCTGTTTTTGTTTTTGGAAGTAGAAATGGGTGTACATACGTACTTGAGAACGTGGACTGTATCACCCGAGGTGACTGCAGGGCTATTAGCCCATACTGGGCAGCTCTTGTTCTCTCCACCTGCTTCCTTCCTCGGTTCACGGGTGTCTGCGGGTGGCCTCTTGGCCCTTCCGAGGCGGCTCCTGCCTGTACTTCTGCCCCTCTCCTATGCTTGTCTAACCTTGCTTGAGTTCGGGGCCCCGCCTCCACCTTGTTCCGCAGTGCAACGGTGGGGGTGCCTGTTCGGTGGTACGTTTTCCTGTGTCGAGGGTGTTTTGTGCTCGCCTCCTTGTGCTTGCAGGATTGGGTTCTGGCTCTTTGGTTCCGCCTCTCCCCTGTCGTTTGCCTGTCGAGTGGATTCTGTGCTTCATGGGCGCTCTCGTCTCTGCTTTGGGGCTGTGTATGGGGTCAGCCCAGGTTGGGCTGCCTAATGTGTTCCTTCGATTGCCTGTTACACTGCACACGTTTCTTCTACCGTCCCTGTGGCTCAGTTGGGTGCTCGGTTTCCGCCTGTGTCCCCTTGTGTGCCACTCGTGTACGATTTATCTATATTCTCTGTCGCTTCCTCGGGGAGTGTGGTGACGTTTTGCTGTGGTTTTGGTACTGCAGCTGCGTGTCGGGGTTGGTTGTGGCATTAGGTTCAGCTCGCCGTGCTCCCTCTGGGGCCCTCCTTCCTTGCCGGTCTTGCTGTGCCGGGCCTGGTTTTTCCATGTTTCTTGGATTCTCTGTCTTGTCCTCGCCTCGTTGTGCTGGCTGGGGATGAGCTTGGGGTCTTCATCTCGCCCCTTGCCTATCCTCCAGTTTCGGTTCAAGTTCCAGAGCCTAGTGGGCTCCCTTCCTTAGTGTTTTTCACGGCTGCCCCGGGGTTTTTCTTGATGCTGGGGCTTTGAGGGGACAGCTCGGCCCTGGGGCCTGCAGGGTGGGTTCCCGGGGCTGGGGTGGGGCTAACGTGAGGGGCCTCAGGCCTCGTTTGTCCCCACCGGGGTATTTCTACCCCTCTGGGTGGGGCTTGCGGTTTTGTGGTGTGGGGTTTTTCCGTTCCCCCTCTCCGCACATGCTTTGTGGGCGTCGGCCCCTCCCTGGACTCGGTTTCCTTGTCTACTGTACCCGTTGTTTCCGTCCTGCCGGTGGGTGCCTTTCTATGGTCTTCGCTCCTTTTTTCCGGGACGGGCCTTCTCCGTCATAGTCCCCCTCTTCTTGGGGTTTCTGCATGACTTTTGGTCTCGGGTGCGACGTGGTTTTTGTGCCTTCGTCCTTTGTGTTTGCTTCTTTTTGTTCTCGAAGGTTCGTGACGGTTTTGCTCCTTCCCGTTTTTCTGGTACATCTGTCGTCATTCGGTTGAGCTTCCCTCCGGTCCTTTCTAGGACTTGTGGGTCCTCTTCCCGGCAGCTTCTGGGTGTTTGGCCTTCTTGTTCTTTTGTGCATATCTCTTCTCTTCGTGCTGTCTCGGCGCTACTCGTTTTCCTGGGGGCAATTTTGCTCCTCTTAATGAGTTTTTTCGTTCCTGCCCTTCTGCGGGATGTTGGTGCGGGGCGGCTCCTTATGGGGGTTCCTTCCCTGTTGGCTGCATTTGTGGCGGTGGACTTGCACGCTTGTGGCATTTTGGTTTTAGTCCTGCGTTTTCTTTTCCCTCCTGGGGCTGTCATAAGATTGGCTTGCGGAGGATGTAGAGGCGCTTGGGGGCCGTTCCTGGGTCTGGCACCTTGGTTTCTGCTGCTAGCTTTCAGTATCGCTGTTCCTTCTGCGCCGTTTCGCAGGCTGTCTCGTGCGTTGTTTCACCTCCGGCCTGCTTATGCACTGCCTGTGCTGTCCTGGTCTTTGGACAGGGTGCTCTCCTGTTTTTCTTCTCCTTGGTGGTTGTGGCTCCTTGGGGTCAGGCTTGCTTTGCCTCGGTTCTCTTTTTATGTTGGCATTGGCCTCTGGGGGTCGTGTGGCAGAGCTTCATACTCTTCTCAGGCGCAGTGGTTTTTGGCTCCTATGGTCGTGGTCATAGGTTTCTTCGTCTGCGGCCGTTCTCCCTTTTTCTGGTGAATGATGTGCCTGCTACTTTCCGGAGGGGTCCTTGGGTGGTTGTATCGACTTTGTGTTGAGGAGTGATTCACCGACCGCCTCCCGGGTATGTCCCCCTGTTTTCTTAGGTAGTCTTTGGTGAAGTAGCTCCGGGGAGCCGTAGGGGCTCCCCCCAGAAAACCAGTGTTGAATGTAATGAAACGTCATTTTCTGGGTGAGTCCTGGAGGCTCCCCGGCACCCTCCCGCCCTCCAGTCGGTGTTTTTTTCGCGGTTTTGATATCCAGCCTCAGAACTGGGGCGGGGATCGCCGGTGCGGGAGTCTGGGGCTCCCCCTTCCCCCTCCCGGGGAGGGGGAAGCTGCGCAGACATGCGGCGCGGCTTGTGTGACGTCATGCTTGTTAGTTCGTTTTCCTGGGGGAGTTCTGTCCACTCGTTTGTCGATTTTTGTTGTTAACCAGAATAGGGGTTTGTTTTGTGGCGCTTACCTTTCTTGGTGCCTGTCCTGGTCAATGGCAGATATAGAATGCTCCAAATCACATGTGCATTTCTATGGGCCATTGCTCCCCATGCCTCTCTGAGGGGGCCAGGTTCTGGCTCGTGGTCCCCGATAGGCCTAGAACTCCACCCACATCGACTGATGCAAAATAGTAAGGGTATCCATATCAGCCATGGATAGCTCCGGGGAGCCTCCGGGACTCACCCAGAAAATGGCGTTTCATTACATTCAACGCTGGGTTTTTATCTCATATGATGCATATTTGTGTCCTTTACAATATGTATACAGTAGAATGTTCATAATGTTCCATGAAACTGTGATACTTGTGTCAGTAATGTGTCCACAATAAATGTTTATTGTCGCAATATTACCTGTTAAAAATTCACTAAAATTACAATATGTACAGTTTCACACACTATTTGCACAGTAACACACTGTATTACACACTCAGTACTTCGGAAGTGAGTAATAATCAATGAAGTAGTCCATGGTACACAGCGCGACTTCGCTCTCAGTGCACCAGGTACAGATAAATTTTCGCTTCCTGTTTCTTCATTCTGTGTACTTGCAAATAACGCACTCACGTACACCCTTGGCTTTAGTACTTGTAGGTTGTATGTAGCCAAGCTTGTAAAGCATAAAGTAGTATTGAAAAGATTATAGGAAAAGATCAATTTGTAAGGTAGTCTTGAAAAGATTATAGGAAAAGATCAATTTGTAAGGTAGTCTTGAAAAGATCGCCTTGTATGGTCCCCACACAGGAAAAGATTCAGCTTGCCTCACAGAGTATCTGTCAGTCAAAAAGAGATTCAGCCAGCCTCAAAGAGTGTCCGTCACTCAAGAAGAGATTCAGGTATTCTTGAAAATATCTATGGAAAACACCACCATGGAAGCCGCTAACACTGTTCATTTATTCTACTTGTATCAGATGCATCATCACTGAACGCAGAAAACGATTCATCTATGTATCATCTAAATAAATTGGAGATAGCATAGGTGAGCAAGGGTGGCGCTCAGAGCTACAACTGGATACGCTCGCTGTATCGCCCTCATAGGTGCTGTATCACTTTCATTCGACCTTTGTGTTAGGTCCTTATTGCGCCTAGCTTCACCAATATTATGACCCTTATGTTCTTCAAACAATAAGGTTTGAATTTCACAGACAGAGCTTTATCTTTCAACACTGCATCAGACAGGTGTTTGGGAGCCAGAGGTGCGTGCGCCACCCATGGTTGCTCATTCAGTACTAACCCAGCCAGCAGCCCTAAAGCATTCTGGAAATTTTTTCCAAGATGGCTGCCTCTCACTAGAGGTCCTAAGAGTCCATTTCGTACACAACCAACCTTGTACACATTTAAAATTGGTACTGAAAAATCAAAAAGAGTTTACTCGGTTGGCGCAGTTTCCCGCTGACCGAGAATACTCGGTTGGCACAGTTAAGTGGTTAATAGAAACATTGGGATAAATTAAGGTTATTCTTCTGTGTTGAAATATGAAGATACTATATGGGAAACAAAATCAGGCTGAGGGTTTAAGTATTGTACTGTACTCTATTGCATAATACAGTACTTATATAAGGATTTGTTATCCTATTTTGTTTGTCAAGAAAGTAAAAAGTTTCTAATCAGTAATTTTTTTATGCAGAAATTCACTGTCTCTGAAAATGGTGCAGGAGTTGCATGCTGCTGTGACTCGAGAAGATCCCGCTCTGCGATGTATCATACTGGGAGCGCAAGGCAAAGTCTTTTCAGCTGGCCATAATCTAAAGGAGCTGGTTAGTGTTTTTCCATTATCTCGGAGAATTGGTTTACAGCATAACTGCATAATTTCATCATATTAATTAGATATTCTGTAATTTTAAATTCCATTCCTGGTACACTAGTGGATAGCCCTATCCAGTACTTACCTAGTTATATTTACAAAGCATAAGTAACAGCTCTTTGCCTAGTCCCCACCTCTCAACACTCATTCAACTGATGTACTAGGTTTCCATGCCTGTTGGGCTCTTGTCATATTTGATACACCCTAGTAAACATGGAAACTTTTGAATCTGTGTATGCAATCTGTCACCAATACTTCTTTACATTTTACATTTAACTATTCTTTGACAATGATCTTTCTAATATCTCTGTGGCTCCTTAACTTCCCATCTAGTATTTCTTTGTTTATATACCACCTAGTCTGCCCTGTATATTCCTCGTGAGAATTTTCCATGTGGTAATCATGTTTTATGTTTTTCTATTCCAGTGAGCTCTGAGACAATTCCTTGCTTCTGAGCTCTGAGACTAGTCCTCGCTTCTGATCTCTGAAACTAGTCCTCACTTCTGAGCTCTGAGACTAGTCTCAGAGCTCAGTCTCATCTAACTTGTACTTAGAGGGGGGAAAAGAACCCAACTCCTTGTAACAATAAGCCCTGCTCAGAGGGCAGAAAAACCCAGGTGGGGTCCAGCGGGGCCCCTCCCCAGCTACAGGATCCTCCTCCGCGGGTCCTGGGGCCGAGTCATCCCCCAGAGCACTGGCCTCTAAAGAAAAGGTCGGCACAGCCGAGTAAGCCGCACGGAAGGAGGCCCACTGGTCTGACCTGGAGGCTTTGGCAGAGAGATCGGACTCGAATGCCTCTGTCGCCACACTGGAAGGTGCATCCCCCGAGACTGCCCGAGTCTCAAGACCATCTAAACCCTGCCTCAACTCTGAAACCCTCAGACGTTTTGGGGCTGGAAGCAGGGGGGAGGGGGGGGGGACCACCAGAACGAACCACGACAGGGGAAGGACGAGGGGGGGGGGTGCGGACTGAACCAAGGTCGAAGCGACCCCCCACCCCCAAGTCCGGGTCTGTATAAGCAAAACGGGGCAGCCTCGGGACATCCAGGTGAGCAACCAACCGAGCACGTTGCAACAACCTAAAGCGCACATGCAACGCCTACGCCGCCTGTACCTGTAGAAGATCATCATTAGACTGGGTAAACTGAGTCACCAGCAAGCAACAGAACTCGCAGGACTCTGGGTCGAAAGTGTCACCGACCCAATAGGCAGCGTGACGAAGGCAAAAACAGTGAGAGTCACCCTGAGACAAGGGGGTCGAGCAACCCTCGAACTCACACAAAGCGAGGGGGGGAACTCCGGGGTTACATCCATCGGACCCACGCACCCCCCGTGGGGTTTGCCATGGTCCTGAGACGGAACTCACGCTCAAGGAATCCCAGGCAGGGTACTGCTAACCGGCACCCAAAACTACCAAGCAACTATCTAAAGCTAAACCTCAGGGACGTGTACACTCACGGAGACCTAGCAGGGGGCACCACCAGAAAAAAAACGTATTAGGTCAGTCACCAAGGGGCAAGCAAGGCAGACTTCCCCCCAAGGTAAAAACAAAATAAAAATAAAACCCCGCAAGGGGATAATGTACCCAAAGGAACAGAGGCGGCCGCTGTGAATGGTGAAAACAAGCTGCACAGCACCCTGTGCCCCGTACCAGTGCAAATTGCCTTTTTACTCTAAGGTAAACAAGGGAGACAAAACACCCAAAGGGCGGGCAAAAATCAAGCAGTTAAACAGCCCAGTAGAGACAGGACCTAAGGAACTTGTGGAAGGTAGCCCCAAGCCCCAAGGGCAGTACTTACAGGGCACCTAGGGAAGGTAACCCTTGGTGCATGCAGCCCGAGTACCGTAGAGTAACTCCTGACTCTCGCACCCCTGGAAGACAGCCATCACACTCTAAGCACAGTGCTGGAAAATCACTGGAGCCAGAGCACACGACCTCTGCCTCTAGCATCAGCCTGAGAACTGAAGGGTGGATAGCCGGCGTGGGGGTCTGAGGCTTCCCTTCCTCCTCCGAGGGGGGGGGAGCTGCACAGACAGCGGCGCGGCGACGTGTGACGTCATGCTCGTTTGCTCGTTTCTTTTTGGGGAGTTCTATCCACATGTTCGGCTTTTGATAGCAATTTACACCAGAATAGGGGTTTGTTTTGAGACGCTTATCTTTCTGGGTGCCTGACCCGGTCGATGGCAGACATAGAATGCTTCCAACCACACGGGGGTTTCTATAGGCCATTGCTCCCCATGCCTCATCTGAGGGGGGCCAGGTTCTGGCTCGTGGTCCCCGGTAGGCCCACAGAACTCCATACACATGACTGATGCCAAAGACTGACATTAGCATATCAGCCTGGATAAACTCCGGGGAGCCTCCGGGTCTCACCCAGAAAATGGCGTTACATTACATTCAACGCTGGTTTTTTCATTAATGTTTTAATCCTGCTGTGGCTATGAAGCAATTTGGGTTGGAGTCTTTGCAGATAAAGCAATGTCATTTTTAAATTGCCATTCTGCTTCCCTTCTGAATCCGAGGTACTCATCTATAACCCGTGTTGCACTCCTCTCTTCTCTTTTGTTCTTAATGTTTTCCATGGCCTCATGCCAAGTACAGTATTGTACTTTGCTCCTTTACATTCTTGGCTAAACCTTGTGTTAAATTATACCTTTCATTGTCCTTACTTTGAATAGGGACAAATTTATCTGCCAATTTGCATCATCTCTTTGTTAAAGTCTATCTCTGGTGGACCTTTCCTTAAAGTTCTTTTGCCAAAAGTCCCTAATTTTGGTATGCCAAACATCCACCTGGTCATTTTCCTGATTAGTGCATCCCTTCTTCATGTTACTCAAATGCAAATACACAATGTTCATTAATTTTCAAGGGCTTCAAAATTGGCTTTCCTTCTTAAAAATGAATATCGAGTCATAATTATTTGCGAGACAAATTATATGTTTGCTTAGAAAGTTTTTAATTGCTGCTTCCATTAATTTTGCCTGTGATGTATCTGTAGTTGCAGGTTTTCCTAGGGGGTGACCTTAAGCGCCTCAATGAGTGTTTGTTTGCTCCTGCCCTTCCCTGGGATGTTGGTGTTGTTCAGCTCCATGTGCAGGTTCCCTCCCTTTCGGCAGCGCAGGTGGCTGAGGACTTGCGAGCTCGGGGCCTTTTGGTTGCGGCCTTGTGTTTCTTTTCCCTCCTGGAGCTGTTGGGGCTGTTCCTGGTTCTGACGCCTTGGCCTCGGCGGCTTGCTCGTCGGCTGCCTTGCTGAAGCTTTTCGTGCCGATCTTGAGGGATGCGATTGCTCTGTTTTATGCTTCCCGGCTCGCATGTCGGCAGATGGTGCTTGCCTCCTCTGTGGAATCCGCTTGGGCCTTGACTCTTAGGATGTCTTTGCCTTTTTGTCCTCTATTATTTGAGGCTTCCGCCATTGCGCAGTATATTCAGGCTGCTTTGGCTTCTTGCCGTCCTATGTCGGACTTGCTGGTTCTCCGGGGGTCCCGTGGTGGTCCTTCCCGGAAGGGTCATGCCAAGGCTCGAGGTTCCTCTCGTCGTGATAGGCCACTGGTGTCGGGTTTGGCTCCTCCTTTGGACCCGCCTTCGTCTGGTCGGCGCAGTGTTCGCTCTGTGCGGGGTTCTGGGTCTCGTAAGGGGTGACGGCCCTTTCGCGGTTCGCCTCATTGACAGGGCGATGGGGAAAGGGGAGGCTTGCCCTGTTCATTCACGCCTGGTCCCACGATTCGTGGGCGTTTTGGATCGTTTTGCGAGGCCTCCGGTGGTGTTGGGTGGCCCCCCCCCCCTGGTGGTCAGGTCGTCTTGGAGTAGGTTCACTTGGGCGTGGTCGAAACGACTACGTCCCTCAGATGGGTTTCCCGTCTGTTTCCGGTCCCGAAACGGGACTGCGCGGATCTGCGGTTCATTCTTGACTTGTCCCGTCTGAACCCCTGGGTTCATTGCCCCTCCTTTCGGATGACCACGCTGTCCCAGGTTTGGCTCCTGTTGGAGCTGGGCGCTTGGATGGTGTCCCTGGACCTTCAAGATGCTTATTGGCATGTCCCGATTCATCCGGGGTTCAGGGACTGGCTTGGTTTTGTTGTGGGGCTTCGTGCTTCCCGCTTTCATTGTCTCCCATTCAGGTTGAACTGACACCTCGCATTTTCACACGCCTTACAAGGGTCATGGTGGCCCGTCTTCATCTGTTAGGTGTTCGGGTGCTGGCCTACCTCGACGACTGGCTGGTTTGGGCTCCCAGCCGGTGCTCTTGTCTGCTGGCCGGGGATTTGGTTCTTTCTCAGCTCGCTGGGTTCGGGTTCTTGGTGAACTGCAGGAAGTCCCATCAGGTTCCCTCCCAGGTTTGGACCTGGCTGAGCCTTGTGTGGGACTCTCGGACTGCTTCCTTATCTCTTCCTCTGGAGTCTCTCCTGCGGCTGTGGTTCCACATGCGCCTGTTTCTTGGGGGCTCCCGGGTCACCCGGAGGTTGCTTAAGGGTCTGTGCAGTAGCCTGAACTTCGCGATGCTGGTCTACCCGTCGGGTCGGGTTTGGTTTGGCACTGTGCGGGAGTTGGTGGCGGTGTGGTTTGCTCTTCTGAGGCTTCGAGTCGCCCGCGGATCGACGATCCGGGTCCTTTCGGACTGCTCCCCGGTGGTTCATTGTCTAAACCGGGGGGGGAGAGGGGTCGATGCGGTCCTTGGCTCTTTGGCGTTGGTCGCTTCGGGCGACTTGTCTGCTGAGTTCTCGGGGTTTGGCTCTCCTGACGGTTCATGTGCGGGAAGTGTCCAACGTTTTGGCCGACAGCCTGTCTCATTTCGTTCCCCTCTCCATGGAATGAACGGTCGACACCGACTCCTTCCTTTGGCTTTGCCAGACGTTCGGATGGCCCGAGGTGGACCTCTTCACGTCTGCGTGGTCGCGGCGCCTTTCCCTGTATGTGGCGCCCTTTCCCGACTGCGAGGCAGTCGGGGTCAACGCCTTTCGGCAGGACTGGTCAAGGTGGGGGGTTCCTGTACCTCTTTCCCCCGGTACAGCTGTTGCTCCAGGTCCTGACTCGCTTGGAGACTTACCAGAGGAGAGTTGTCCTCTTGGCCCCTTGGTGGTCAGCCCAGCCGTGGTTTCAGGCGCTGCTTGCTCGGTGTCCAAACCCGGAGGTTTTCCCGCGGCTCCGCCTCTTCCTGCAGATTGGACCGGTACGTCACTTGGATGGTTCGATCTTCTCCTTGAGTTTTCGTGTATGGTATTTTTGACTCGAGTTTATCATCATCTCCATGGTGATCAGGTGGCTTCCTTATTAGTGTTCCACCTGCGGGCTTCGTCTCGGCGGCAGTATGAAATTTCCTGGTGGTCCTTCCGGTTCTTCTTACGTCTTTGTCATTGTACTTCGCTTTATGTTAGGGTGGGTGTTGTCCTTTCTCTCTTGGTTGTTCCAGGACCGTCTCCTTATGCCTAACACTGTCGCCTCATTGTGCGGCACTGGCGGAGCTGCTTCAGCTTGCTTTCGGTATTGATGTTACATCTGCACCATTTCGCAAGCTGTCTCAGGACAGAGTGCTCTCATTTCTTTCTTCTCCTCGTTTTGTTGTGGCCCCTTCAGTTCCGGATTGTTTTTCGAAAGCCTCTTTTCTTGTTGGCATTGGCCTCTGCGGGTTGAGTTGGTGAGCTTCATGCTCTCCTCCGGTGCAGAGATTTCTGCTCCTTCAGTCGGGGTGATCGGTTTGTTCGTCTGCAGCATTCTCCTTCTTTTCTGGCGAAGAATGAGACTTTGTTGTTGCTTTCTGGAGGGGTCCCTGGGTTGTTGATGCTTGGTTGATTAGGCGGGGGTGCATTATGTTTTGTGTCCGGTTGTGGCTCTCCGCCATTATTTGTGCGCCATGGCTTCTGTGTCCGTGGACGCACTTTGGGTTGATCCGGTTTCCCTTCTTCCCTGTTCGCGGGTTCAGGTCTCCCAGGTCATCCACAGAGTTATTAAGGCTAGCCAGCCTGCAGTCTATTCCCGTGCCCATAACGTCCGCAAGTTCGCGGCACTTACTGCCGTCTTTAGCAATATGTCCTGGACTGACATTCGGGCGTGGGGATTATGACGATCGAACAGGGTCCTGGCTGCTCGTTACCTTGTTAACGTTCCTGGGCTCAGTCGGGCCTGTGTCGCTTTCGGTCAGCGGATGCAGCCAGTTGTCTCGACTTCGGGTTGAGGAGTGAGCAGCAACCACCTCCCGGGTAAGTCCCTATTCTTTCCTCTGTGGGTAGTTAGCTCCGGGGAGCCAAAGGGGCTCCCCCCAGAAAACCAGCGTTGAATGTAATGAAACGCCATTTTCTGGGTGAGACCCGGAGGCTCCCCAGCATCCCTCCCTCCCTCCAGTTGGCGTTTTTTCGCGTGTTTTAACATCCAGCCTCAGAACTGGGGTGTGGATCGCCGGCGCAGTGGGTCTGGGGCTTCCCCTTTCCCGGGAGGGGAAGGGGGGGGGGGAAGCTGCACAGACAGCAGGGCGATGACGTGTGATGTCATACTAGTTTGCTTGTTTTTGTTTCGAAAGTTCTATCCATTCGTTCGGCTTTTGGTTGCAATTTTCACCAGAATAAGGGTTTGATTTGGGATGTTTACCTTTCTGGGTGCCTAACCTAGTCGATGGCAGACATAGAATGCTTCCAATCACACGGGGGGGTTTCTATAGACCATTGCTCCCCTTGCCTCTCTAGAGGGGGGGGGGGCCAGGTTCTGGCTTGTGGTCCCTGGCAGGCCCAAAGAGCTCCATACACATGACTGATGCCAAAGTCTGACATTAGCATATCAGCCTAGTAAGCTCCGGGAAGCCTCCGGGCCTCACCCAGAAAATGGCGTTTCATTACATTCAATGCTGGTTTTTTCCTCCAGACACTGAAGGAAGGCCGTGATTACCACCAGAAAGTGTTCGATGCATGCACAGAGCTGATGCTCACCCTGCAGAATATACCGGTTCCTGTTGTTGCCAAAGTCAATGGTATTGCTGCTGCTGCTGGGTGCCAGCTTGTGGCCTCCTGTGACATTGTTATAGCTACACACAATTCCTCCTTCTCAACACCTGGGTAAGACCATTTACAATAATCTTCCAGGCTCTTTTGAAATGCTTATTGTCAGCTATTACGTAAATACACAAATCGGTAAATATGAGTAAGTAGTTAAAAGTTGAATAAAACTGGTTTGTAGATATCTTGATTTGCAAAACGAAATTGCAAGCATATAATGTGTCTAGAAGAAAGTACAGTATAGAAGCCGTACGATGGGATCGAACCCGCATCCCTAAACTTAGACATTGTGGAGAGGGCAGGTTACAACTTACAGGGAGTTGGAGGTGGAGAGCATCACTATCGACACCCAAGTGAGGGCCTGTGTCTCATAAAACTTGGATTGTGGTACCGGGTGTTGTCTTCCAAACTCCATGTATCAAGTAGTACCTCTGGTTGAGACATAGTACTTTAAACCCATCATGGTCCAGTGGGTAGTGTGTGGGGTTCAGAAATGAAAGTTCAGTCTCATAGTATGGCTTCTATATTTTCTTATCCTGATTTTGTTTTCATCTTGGCTTGTAGAATTGATGCATTTTGTTGTACTTAATGTAAATATAATCTTAGCTTCTAAAGGTAAAATTATAAGTGTAATTAATAGTTAGTGGAAGCTCTATTAATGAGTTTAATCCGTTCTGGCACTGAGCTCGTTATCTGGAAAACTCGTCTTAAGAAACAAATTTCCCCATTTAAAATAAAGGAAATAAATTTAATCCGTTCCACTCCCAGAAACATCCATACTTGTATGACATTTTATAATGTAAATATAATACTGCACATGTAATTATAAATGTTTTGTTGTACTGCTTTCATGTTTACTTTACCGTATGAAGAGTCGTTGCTGGCTTGAGGGAGACGATGGGGAGGTGGGAAGGAGGAGAGGGGTTATGGTGTGGAAGGAGAATCCACCTCTGAGTCAGGCGGGCTCTCTCTACTTGGGAATTTCACCCCACTTGGACCGAGTTCTGGTTCACTATCACTGGCTCTTCTTTTCTCTACTTTTGCAAAGACCTTATCTATTGACACTTGCTTTTGTCTTTGTTTTAGGACGTTCCTAAAACAAGACAGCAAATTGTCATTAAACATGTTCACACACCGGGTTGTTACTGCTTTATCAGGGCAGCTTTTCCAAGAATGCGGTCACCTTTTCAAACATTCCCAACACTTCCCTGATCTCACTGGAAGAGGCAGCATCCTTCCCTACCTCCTCATCCCCTTACTAATGGTGCAAATTGTTGATGAGGCCCTGCCATACTCCTTTGTGAGATCAGTCACACAGACACCACGCTCATGCTTTGCTATAATTTCTTTCTTCAAATCCACAGTAATTGTGTCTTTCTTTATCTTGACAACACTATCTTTAGCAAGCAGCTTCTTTGGCGACATCGTGCGTTACAAATTGTAGTCACAAAAAAACTAAGTAAAGCACAAATAAATGCAGAGATGCTTATCGTGCACGATACAACAACAACACTGGCGTCAGAGGTGTCCGAGAATTTGCGAGAACCTGCGAGACACTAGGAAGCACCATGTGGTTTTGCTCGTTAATAGAGGTGAAGCTCGTCAATAGAGACAAATTTGCTGCGAGTGACTTGCTCGTTACTGGAAATGCTTGTTAATAGAGCCGCTCGTTATCGAGGTTCCACTGTATAGTATATCTACAATACTATATACTGTACTTATGTATCTGAAATATTTGACTCACAGCTAGAGGACTTAGATTACTAGAGATAAACTAAGGAGACATTTGATGGAGCTGGATACCACTAAGGCTGAGAAACCAGATATAATCTCACCATGGGCTCTAAGAGGTGGAGTTGAAACCTTATCTTGACAGCTTATTATGATGGATAGTTAGTCACTGGAAACCAGGAGAACTACCAGAAAGTTGGAAAATAGGCTTCTTTGATACCTGGTTGATGGGGTTCTGGGAGTTCTTCTACTCCCTGAGGCCAAGCTTGACTTGTGAGAGTTTGGTCCACCAGGCTGTTGCTTGGAGCGGCCCGCAGGCCCACATGTGCACCACAGCCCGGTTGGTCTGGCACTCCTTGGAGGAAACTATCTAGTTTCCTCTTGAAGATGTCCACGGTTGTTCCGGCAATATTTCTTATGCTCACTGGGAGGGTGTTAAACAACCGTGGACCTCTGATGTTTATAGAGTGTTCTCTGATTGTGCCTATGGCACCCCTGCTCTTCACTGGTTCTATTCTGCATTTTCTTCCATATTGTTCACTCCAGTACGTTGTTATTTTACTGTGAAGATTTGGTACTTGGCCCTCCAGTATCTTCCACGTGTATATTATTTGATATCTCTCTCGTCTTCTTTCTAGTTAGTACATTTGGAGGGCTTTGCGACGATCCCAATAATTTAGGTGCTTTATCGTGACTTTGCGTGCCGTATATGTTCTCTGTATTCCCTCTATTTCAGCAATCTCTCCTGTACTGAAGGGGGAAGTGAGTACTGAGCAGTACTCGAGACGGGACAACACAAGTGACTTGGAGAGTACAACCAATGTGATGGGATACCTGGATTTGAAAGTTCTCGTAATCCATCCGATCATTTTTCTGGCTGACACAATATTTGCTTGGTTATGCTCCCTAAACGTTAGGTCGTCAGACATCATTATTTCCAAATCCTTTACATGCTGTTTTCCTACTATGGGCACATTTGATTGTGTTTTGTACCTTGAATTATGTTTAATGTCCTCATTTTTACCGTATCTGAGAACCTGGATTTTATCACTGTTAAACATCATGTTATTTTCTGATGCCCAGTCGAAAACTATTATTATCAGCTTGAAGTTTTTCAATGTCTTCAGCCGAAGTAATTTTCATACTGATTTTTGTGTCATCTGCAAAGGATGATACGAAGCTGGGACTTGTATTTTTGTCTATATCTGATATGAGATTAAGGAAAAGCAGTGGTGCAAGGACTGTACCCTGAGGTACAGAGCTTTTAACTGCGCTTGGACTCGATTTTATGTGGTTGACTGTTACTCGCTGAGTCCTGTTTGGCAGAAAACTGAGTATCCAGTGTCCTACTTTACCGGTTATTCCCTTTGACTTCATTTTGTGTGCTATCACTCCATGGTCACATTTATCGAAGGCCTTTGCGAAGTCCGTGTATATCACATCAGCATTCTGTTTTTCTTCTAATGTCTCAGTGACTTTGTCATAGTGATCAAGTAGCTGTGAGAGGCACGATCTTCCCGCTCGAAATCCATGTTGGCTTGGGTTGTGAAGGTCATTGGTCTCCATGAAATTGGTGACCTGACTCCTAATCACTCTCTCAAATACTTTTATGATGTGCGATGTTAGTGCAACTGGTCTATAATTCTTTGCCAATGCTTTGCTCCCTCCCTTGTGTAGAGACGCTATGTCTGCTACTTTAAGTGCATCTGGTATCTTCCCCCGTGTCCAAGTTCTTCCTCCACACTATACTGAGTGCCTGTGCTACTGGCACCTTGCATTTCTTTATAAATATTGAGTTCCATGAATCTGGACCTGGAGCAGAGTGCATGGGCACGTTTTCAATTTCTCTTTCAAAGTCTAGTACAGTGGAACCTCTATTAACGAGTTTAATCCGTTCTGGCACCGAGCTCGTTATCTGGAAAACTCGTCTTAAGAAACAAATTTCCCCATTTAAAATAAAGGAAATAAATTTAATCCGTTCCACTCCCAAAAACATCCCTACTTGTATGACCTTTTTTCTGGGGGGAGCCCCGTCGGCTCCCCGGAGCTATCCCAGGCTGATATGCTAATGTCAGACTTTGGCATCAGTCATGTGTATGGAGTTCTTAGGCCTACCGGGGACCACGGCCAGAACCGGGCCCCCTCAGAGAGGCAAGGGGAGCAATGGCCTATAGAAACCCCCGTGTTAGTGGAAGCATTCTATGTCTGCCATCGACCGGAACAGGCACCCAGAAAGGTAAGCGCCCCAAAACAAACCCCTATTCTGGTTAAAATTGCTACCTAAAACCGAACTAGTGGATAGAACTCCCCAACCGAAAACAAGCAAACTAGTGTGACGTCACACACTGCCGCACCGCTGTCTGCGCAGCTCCCCCCTCCCCGGGAGGGGGAAGGGGGAGCCCCAGACCCCCCGCGCCGGCTACCCACACCTCAGTTCTTGAGGCTGATGCTATAGGCGATGGTCGTGTGCTCTGGCTCCGGTGTCGCTACTGCACTGTGCTTTGCGTGTGGTGTTAGTTTTGTGGGGGCGAGAGCCAGGAGTTATCTTCCGTACTCGGGCTGCATGCGCCTAGGGCTGCCTTCCCTAGGTGCCCTGTAAGTACTGCCCTTGGGGCCACCTTCCACAGGCTCCTCGGGGTCTGCCTCTGCTGGTCCGTTTTACCTTTCGGTTTTTCGGCCGCCTGTTGGGCTCTTGGGTGTTCTGTTCTCCCTTGTTACCGGCAGGTAAGAAGCAGTTTGCACTGGTAGGGGCGCAGGGTGCTGCTCAGCTTGTATTTCCCGACATCGCGGCCGGCTCTGTTCCTTGGGGTTCGCTGTCCTCTTGCGGGGTTTTGTTTTTCTTTTTGTTTTTGCCTGGTGGGGGGTTCTGTCATTTTATTCAGTTTGTTTTTACCCTTCCACTGTTCTCATCGGTGGCGCCCCCTGCTAGGTCCCCGTGAGTGTACACGTCCCTGGGGTTCAGCTTTAGAAGTTTGCTTGGTAGTTTTGGGCGCCGGTTTGCAGCACCCTGCCTGGGGCTACCTGAGCGCGAGTCCTCTTAAAGTAAACGCTCAGGACCCTGGGAATCCCCTAGGGGGCGCGTGGGTCCGATGGATGTGACCCCGGAGTCCCCACTCGCTGTGTGCGAGTTTGAGGGTTGCTCGGTCTCCTTGTCTCAGGGTGACCCTCATTGTTTTTGCCTCTGCCACGCTGCCTGTTGGGTCGGTGATACTTTCGACCCTGAGTCCTGTGAGTGTTGCTGCTTCCTTGTGACTCAATTTACCCAATCCTCTGATTCTATTCGGGTACAGGCGGCACGTGCGTTGCAGTCTAGGTTTCGTCTGTTGCAA